CCTGTTTTAGTTTCGATAAGGAAAAAGGCCTTCTCAAGAAAAATGTTTCAGAGCCTTGGAATTGTGCTATTTGAAGGCTGACCGAATGTTGACAACAATTTTCATTGAGCAGACAAAGTAGGTCACAATCAGTTAATTAGCAGGAGATATGAATAGTGAGAGCCTACTGCTCATAGAAGCTTTTTTGTTTAAAAGGTAGAGGAAGGAAATATTTCTCTCAGCTATTTCTACCACCTGTGGGCAGATTGGCCAAATTGTGGCCCTCTTAATTAAGCCCAAGAGACAGCCGATTGAATGAGTGCTCTAATACAAAGGCCAGGGTATTCAGGAAGCAAATGAGAGTTGCAAAGTGCTTCACTTCTTTTGTTCTTCCCCACACTTCTCTTCAGCCCTTTCGAGAGAGAGAGAGAAAGGGAACATGAGTACACACGGATCCTCTGTGTGTCTTTGCTTTCCGGAAATAACTATCTCAGTGTGAAAGTCTTGGAGAGGACTGTAAACATCACCATCTGTACGTCTTCACTCCTTCTCACCAACCAACTGATCAAGTTACGAATAGTCAAACCTTCTTATCAGCCAAACTACGGAATAGAAAGAAAGAAGGGATGAGCAACAAGTAGGACAAAAAATTTGAGTACTAAATGAGCCCAAAATCACAACGCAATTAGTGGTGAGGAGATGAAGGCGAGTCTTGGAGACAGATCGCTGTTTTAACTAATGTAATGACTTCGTCTCAGGCGAGTCGGTCAATTACGGCGCCATGGACACAGACATAGGGGTTAGACGTTGTAAGGTGGAGACAGTGAGTTTGATGTAGCTCAACTTTTGTAAGCCAAATGTTTTCACCGCGAATTCTTAAATCCACTCTAGGAGTGCTCTACAAGCCTCCAAGATAATGATCGCTTTAAGGGAGGAAAAGTACAAATGCCTCGCAGCATTGTGTAGGCCTGTGGTATACACCTGTGATTTGACTTTCACACTGTTCTGTACAACTTCTCCAGACTACCAGTCTCCTAGCCCTTCTGCACTTGCTTCCACTTATGTTAACGCAAA